GGCGGGGCTTTTGGGGCTGCAGGAAAGGGTGTAGGGCTTTGAACCCAGAAGTGGTCGGGCCTGCAGGGCAGGGCGTGGGAGCGGAACCTGTAGCTGCCCTGCCAGGTACCTAGGGCACAGACCAGGCCTGCCTGAGCATATCCGTCCAGCCCCCATGGTTTGGTAGCTTCCTGGGCACCGGGAGGCTGTGCTCCCTCAGGGCCTCTCCTGCCGACCCTGACTCACCATCTGTCCCCACACCCGGGCCCACAGTTAAGCCCCCAGCATCTGCCTTGCCGGGCCACAAGCACCTCTCCCTCACCCTGGGGGCTCGGTGCGGTGTCTCCCTTCGTCCCGTCTGTGTCTGTCCCATCCCTCGGAGGGCCCCGCCAGCTGGGTGGACTGACCGCCATGCTTCCGCAGCTCAAGGCTCGGTGCGAGGAGCTGAGGCTGGACTGGTCCACGCTGTCCCTGGAGAGCCTGCTGAAGGAGAAGCAGGCCCTGAAGAGCCAGATCTCCGAGAAGCAGCGTCACTGCCTGGAGCTGCAGGTGGGCGGGCGCCACCTTCCACCCCACAGCACAGAGCGGTGGATGGAGCGTGTCCCCATGTCCTGTCTCGTGGCCGCATCCCGCTTGCTGCGCCATGTTCTTGGGTCCGTCCGTGTGGCCCGAGTCCCTGGGTGCCTCAGTGGTTCCAGAGGGGTGCAGTGGGGACTGCCCCGCACTGCTGCGACCAGGCCATGTGTGCTCCGGGAGGCCAGCCCAGAGCTGCGAGGCGGAGCGAGGCACACCGCGGCCCTTTCCCGGGGCTTCTCCATGCGCTGGGCTCAGCTGTCCGCAGGAGGGCTTTGGTGAGGGCACGGGCGTGGCAGAGAACCTGGCCCTGTCAGCCCTCCGCAGCAGGGGTCCATGGCCCACTCTGTGCTCAAGGCCCTTCCCGGGGTCTGTCCGAGGAGCACAGCTGGGCACGAGTCTGCATGCGAGAGTCAGCAGGCTTTTTTAAGATTTGCCACGCAGTGTGTGCTCAGCAGAGACAGAAGCGATGCCATGCCGCAGTCCCTTCACCGCTCTCCTGGGGTTTCAGGCACATGCACAGGGGTCTGGACGTGGGGCCCACCCCTTCGGCACGCCGCCTGCTGGCCCTGGCAGGCTGTGTTCAGAAGCATGTGCTCCAGTGCGCTGCTCCCTGGCCAGTGCCGGGGCTGCCCGCGGGGAAGGGCAATGGCTGTCTCCTGATTGGGCCTGGCCCCGTGGAGCGCGGTGTGGGCTGCCCCTAAGGGACACGTGTGCCCCGCCCTTGTTCTCGGTGTCACAAATGACACTGCTTGTCACGGGGGACGATTGAAAACCCGAAACAGAACTGGTCACCCCAGAGGTGACGCTCTCCCCGGGTGAGCACCGGGCCAGACGGCTGCCTGAGTGTGGTGCACACCCAGTTCCGGGAGCGAGCACGCCCCGCTGGGAAGGTGTTTTCTGTCTCCTGGGGTGTGGGTGCAGGGGATGCTCAGTGGGGCCCTGCAGAGCCTGCGGGCGATCAGCCCTTTCGTCGGGGCTGGCCCCGCAGCCGTGCAGGCCCAGGTGCGGCGCAGGGCCTGATGGCGTCCCCCTTGCCCTGCAGATCAGCATCGTGGAGCTCGAGAAGAGCCAGCGGCAGCAGGAGCTGCTGCAGCTCAGCCGTCGGGGCTGGCCCTGCAGCCGTGCAGGCCCAGGTGCGGCGCAGGGCCTGATGGCGTCCCCCTTGCCCTGCAGATCAGCATCGTGGAGCTCGAGAAGAGCCAGCGGCAGCAGGAGCTGCTGCAGCTCAGGTCCTGCGTGCCGCCCGACGATGGGCTGGTGCCGCCCCCGCGCGGGAAGGGTGCCTTGGGCCGCGAGCTGGAGGCCGAGGCGGGCCGGCTGCACCTGGAGCTGGACTGCGCCAAGTTCTCCCTGCCACCCTTCAGCGTGAGCCCCGAGCTGTCCATGAACGGCCACGGGGCGGGCTACGAGCTGGGCGGCCCGCTGAGCCGGCCGGCGTCCAAGCAGAGCACCCCGCAGTACCTGGCCTCCCCGCCCGACCAGGAGGTGGTGCCCTGCACGCCCAGCCACAGCGGCC